TTTTCTGTAAATAAGGGAGAGAAAATGACACATTTCACAAGCCAAGGAAACCGTAAGCTTTGAAGTACAACTGTCAAACTGAATTACAACACTAAAGTAAAATACTGCAGATGCTGGGTGACTGAAATAAAAACAAAAACTACTGCAAATGCTTAGGTCAGGTAGCATCAGTGGAGAAAAGGAAAGTTAACATTTCTGATCAAAATGCCCTTTTATCATAATTGAAGTAAGATGAAAATGTAATAAATTTTGAGCCAGTCGACAAATGCATACAGATCACACATCTTATTTGCTATCCTTGATTCCTCTCTACAGAGACATCTTCTGAACAATTCCAATTGGTCTATCCTCGATCAAAATGTATCCTGATGGCAAATTTGGTGAATTAACATTATTGTAATTATTGTTACCACTTAAACCATTACTGAATGATACTAGATTACATGGTGATAATACTAATGTTTATTTAACTGTAACATAATTAAAAAGTAAAGGGCAATCAGTGCTTTTTATAAAATTAATTAATATATAAATTAATATAAAAGCATGTTATGGTGGATGCTAGAAATCTGAAATAAAAACAGAAAATGCTGGAGAAACTCAATAGGTCTGGCAACATCAGCGGAGACAGAAACACAGTTAATAGTTCAAGTCCAGTATGACTTTTCTTCATAAGCTATGTGGGAATTCTTCATGTTGCTTGGCTGCTTTGTTTTCTTGATGATATCACCACTGCTGCACACCAGACATCCCCCTATGTTAAGGCTGAAATGGAAGTAACAGTTTAAAAAAAAAGTGAAACCCATACTTCAGAAATTGCTTTGTTTTTGTGGGCAGCTTCCTTTGAAGTCAACAGCAAAGAGTCACTTACTTCCTTATTGACTACAAATTCCAGGCTGATACCATGAAGATGACATTAGCAGTTGTGAATGCTTTGCTGTCAAAATGTTTATTTTACTAAATAATCTTTTAAAAAATTTAAGTAAATATCTGGGAGTTACAGATGATGAAATACAACTAATAATAAATTTGAAGAAAATATTAAATAATTTCTCTTTGCATTTTGTTTCTGGATCTGGCACCTTGGATCTATACAGGATGTTGTCTTTGCCACCATTGAAACACCACTAATCTTGTTGCAGTGTATTCTGATCAGTTCTCCAGCATATTGTGGTAAAGATTTACTGCTGGAGAACCAGGGAGTACAGCTGCCTAACTTATGGGGTGGAATGTTCAAAGCCTAATACCACGTGGGCAGTGGCAGGTTAGTTGGGATAATATAGTCTTTTATGCAACTGGCTGCTTCCGTTAAGCACCTGTGTGCAACCTCCCAACCTTTGACCAACAAACATATCAAGGCAGTTACAATGCAATCTGTGTCAGGTCACATCCTTCAACCTGTGACGAGGTCAGTGCTGCAGCCCAGGGAGTAGGCTTTGCCAGCACAGTGCCCTGTTCCTGGGGAAAGCCAGCTATAGATTGTACACGTTGCATTGAAATCACTATATATATGGTGCCTACATTCTTGAGAATTTCCATGTTCGTGCTTTGAAGCACGGCTGAATGTCTTACAAGGATGTTTACTGGGAGATAAGGACTACCTTTTGCAACTGTGGCTGGCAAGTGTTACACAACCCCATAATGGAGGCTGAACACAGATACAATGTAATCAATTCTTCCACAAGGGCTATGATGGAGCAGACAATAGGCCACCTGAAGAGGATGTTCTAATGCTCAGATAGGTCTGGGGGTGGGCCTTGTAGTAAAGTCCAGAAAGAGTGTGCCACATGATCCTAGCATGCTGTGCTCTACCAAACTGGAGCAGATAATGAGGGGACGTGATGGATGGTGAAGACCTGGGAGAGTGACAGCAGTTTTCTGAGGAGCACAATGAGGTCAATCGACTTCTGAAATGACAGAGCGCCTAGGGTGAGGTACAGGCCAGGCAAGAGGTAACTGACTTGGTTCTGATAAATGTAGTAACTGTTAACTTGCTATTGTAAAAGGCAAGCAGAAGCAATCTGTTCCTAGAAGCAAACACAGCTTACCTTTAGCCACTTTTGTTTGCCATTAGTGAATGAAAGTGAATATTCTGAACTGTATGAGTGCTTCCCTGTGTGGACACTCCCACATCAAACAACGAGGTGACATTATGCTTCACTGGATGACACTGGAAGAGTAGCCCTCCTTCAGACAGGCTTTAAGATGGGATAACTCTCAAGGACAGGTAACCTATGTAGCCTGGTTCTTATAGTTGCATTCACAATGACTATTGATCAGATAGATGAAAAATAGGTTTATATTTACAGATGTGCACTTGTATTTGAAATGCATGTGCATTGGAAGGGTTCCTTAACCATTCCTCTCCCACCATACACAGCTCTTGGCTCACAATGCTCGACTTGGTGCATGGCCTGACTTTAAAAATGGTGCCAGCACAGATGGTCCTAGGATATCCCACCTGCGGTAAGTAATTACCATCAATACTAAATGGAAGATAACATAAGCAGGGTGCCACAGAGTCATGGTGTATAGCTAATGAGGTGAGCTGTGGAGAACAGCATGAGAAAACCTGCTCGCGTTCACAAAGCAAAACCTTTCATGAAACTCACTGAAATGGACACCACTTATTTCTGGTCAAATTCAGCGTTTTGTGTTCATATCAATATCATTGATGTTACAAAAATGCCATACACCAATTTGGGCAATTTACTTGCAGAGGTTTATTCAAATAGAAGGCCTAAGACCAGTGTATTACCATGCCTACGCTATTACAATACCGAAGCCCAATTACTAAGAGAAAGAGTGGGCCTCTCCCTTTTCAGGTTAATAGACATTGAATAAATAAATTCCATGTGTGCACTGGAGGTGAAATAGGTCTTGATCACTTGGTACTCCAATTTCTTCTGAAATGTGGCAAGTGCCTTCTGTGTTTGAATGAGAGAAGTGTGACTGTGCATATTTGCTGTAGGGCAGCAGTCAGAGTTCAACTGACTGAATAGACAGCATAGTTTAATAACATCACTCACACAGAATAATATGCATAGTAGTTGTCATTAAAATTTAGCTGCGATGATCTGTAACTTGTAATTTTGTGCTCGAGTGCTAGACTTCGAATTAACAGCACTTTGTGATTTTTTTCTAACCCAAAATTCACAAATAGACAATTTTAAAAGTAGGTTTTGAACAACTGTGGTCATGTCTCTCTCTCTCTCTACAGCCTCCTTTTGACCAAGTTGTAACTGTGCTGCTTGCTTAGGTCAACCGCCCCTGTGTATCTGCGCCATGTTCATCCTTCACTTCAATATCATCAGCGTACCCTGACAGCACCTGAAATATAAATCCTGCACATTGGGATAAACTTAAAGTGGAGGTAAACGACTAGACGAGACAACCAGAGTTGAAAATGAGAGTTGCTCTTGCTGACTATAAACAGCAAAAAAAACATTCCAGCAATTAGGGGGTATACATTTTACAAGGGTATTTGAAAGTCACCGTAATAATGTTAAAATTCATCTTTGTAAACAGGCAAGTTATAAAAAAAAAGCTTCTCAGAGACACCAGTCTTTATTTCCAAAGTGCCACAACCCTTTCAGACTTGTTACCATTGCACTATTTACATTCAGAAGGAGGGTCACTGGACCTGAAACATTAACTCTGCCTTCCCTCCGCAGATGCTGACCGACCTGCTGAGATTCTCCAGCAATTTCTGATCGTGTTTCTAAAAAACAATTCTCATTCCTCCAATATCATCAGCTATTAATTCATCCTAACAACCAGTGCTGAAGGGAAGGGCTGCCTGTCTACAGCATTAGAAGAAAGTTTCAAAGATTTGTTACTGCAGTTAGTTTTAAACAGAATTTTACATGCATTGAAACAAGCGAATAAGACAAATTTTAAATGAGAAGAAAAACAAAAACAGAAGTTTGTGGAAAAGCTCAGCAGGTCTGGCAGCATCTGTGAAGAAAAAATCATCAGAGCTAATGTTTCAGGTCACTGGACCCAAAATGTTAACTCTGAGTTTTTCTTTACAGATGCTGCCAGACCTGCTGAGCTATTCCGGCAATTTCTGTTCCTGATTTACAGCATCCGCAGTTCTTTTGGTTTTTATTTAAATGAGAAGAACTTTACTTACCAGTCATTACTGAAAGGTCAGCCTCAGCACCAAACATTTCAGAGATTCCTAGGCCAGCGAGAACTTCCTTCAAATCAATATTCTGTGTCATTTTGAATCTAGCAACATAATTTTATATGCATTTAAACAAGAATGAAAACAAGCAAGTTGGAATTCATTGTAAGCATTTCTTTTGCTTTAATTTTAAATGATAGATCAACGTTTATAAAGGACAAAGGTTTCTTCTGCAGAGCTGAAAAGGGTTAATGATATCACTTCTGTAAAGCAAAATCAATTGTTGCTGCTATAGTGCTCAATATATTCCCCTTGAACTGCAATTCCAAAACAACAATAAAAAAAACTTGTTCACACACAGAGTTAGCACAAGTGGCAATCTCAACTGTAAAATAATTTTTTTTTGTTCAGTATGTGAAAATACTTATTGGGGAAGGAGCAAACCTTGACGTTCTCTTGATACACAAGGCATGGCAAGTGGCTGAGGTGTCAGTGGGGGAGCACTTTGGGGCCAGTAATCATAATTCTGTTAGCTTTGAAATACCTATGGAAAAGGATAGACCTGATCTAAAAGTTAAAGTTCTAAATTGGAATAAGGCTGATCTTGACAGTATTAGGCAAGAACTTTCAAGAGTTGATTGGGAGAGACTGTTCGCAGGTAAAGGGACGGTTGGGAAATGGAAAACCTTCAAAAAATGAGATAACGAGAGTCCAGAGGCAATATGTTCCTCTTGGGCTGAAGGGCAAGGGGAGGTGACTAGAGAAATTGAGGCTCTGGCCAAGAAAAGGAGACATATGACAAGCATATACAGCTGGGATCGAATAAAAGGGAAATCAGGAGGGCAAAAAGGGGACATGAGATACCTTTGGCAAATAGAGTTAAGGAGAATCCAAAGAAATTCTGTAAATACATTGGGGACAAAAAAAAAAGAATAAATAGGGAGAGAATAGAGCTCCTTAAAGATCAACAAGACTGTCTATGTGTGGACACGCACGAGTGAGACTGAAGTATTTCACAGCAATATTTACAGTGGAGAAGGATATGGAATCTAGAGAACATGAGGAATAAATAGTGGTATCTTGAAAAATGTCTATATTACATGGGTGGTGGTGCTGGACTTCTTAAAACGCATAAAGGTGGATATATCCCTGGGACCTGATCAGGTATATCCCAGAACTTTATGGGAAGCTAGGGAAGGGATTGCTGGGCCCTTTGCTGAGATATTTGTATCATCGATAGCCACAGGTAAGGTGTCAGAATACTGCAGGGTGGCGAATGTGGTGCCACTATTTAAGAAAAGTGGTAAGGAAAAGCCAGGGAACTATAGACCAGTGAGCCTGACATCAGTGGTGGATAAGTTGTTGGAAGGGAATCCTGAGGTACCGGATTTACAGGTATTTGGAAAGGCAAGGACTGATAGTCAATATGGTTTTGTGCATGGGAAATTGTGTCTCACTAATTTGATTGAGTTTTTTTGAAGTGACGAAGAAGATGGATGAAGGCAGAACAGTGGATATTGTCCATATGGACTTCAGCAAGGTGCTTGACAAGGTTCCGCATGGTAGACTGGTTAGCGAGGTTAGATCACATGGAATCCAGGGACAACTAGTCATCTGGATACAAAATTGGCTTGAAGGTAGGAGAGAGAGGGTGGTAGTGGAGGATTGTCTTCTTTCGGACTGAAGGCCTGTAACCAGTGATGTACTGCAAGGATCGGTGCTGGGTCCACTACTTTTTCTCATTTATGTAATGATTTGGATGCGAATACAGAAGGAATGTTAGTAAGTTTGCAGATGACACCAAAATTGGTGGTATAATGGACAGTGAATAACATTATCTCAGGCTACAACAGGACCTTGATCAGATGGGCCAATGGGCCAAAGGAGTGGCAAATGGAGTTCAATTTAGATAAATGTGAAGTGCTGCATTTTGGAAAGGCAAGACTGGACTTATACGCTTAATGGTCAGGTCCTGCAGACAGTTGCTGAACAAAGAGACCTTTGGGTGCAGGTTCATAGTTCCTTGAAGGTGGAGTCGCAGGTAGACAGGGTAGTGAAGGGGGCATTTGGTATGCTTGTTCTATTGGTAAGTGCATTGAGTATAGGAGTTGGGAGGTCATGTCATACATTGATTAGGCCACTTTTGGAATACTGCATTTAATTCTGGTCTCCCTGTTGTAGGAAAGATGTTGTGAAATGTGAATGAGTTCAGAAAAGATTTACAAAGATGTTGCCGGAGTTGGAGATTTTGAGCTATAGGGAGCAGCTGAATGGGCTGGGGTTATTTTCCCTGGACCATCGGAGGCTAAGGGGTGACCTTGTAGAGTTTTATAAAATCATGTGGGACATGATAGGGTGAATAGTTAAGGTCTTCTTCCCAGGGTAGGGGGGTTCAAAACTGGAGGAACTAGGTTTAGGGTGAAAGGGGAAAGATTTAAAAGGGACACAAGGGGTAATTTTTTCCACACAGAGGGTGATGCATGTATACCAGAGGCAGTGATGGAGGCTGGTACAATTACAACTTTTAAATGGCATCTGGATTGGGTATACGAATAGGAAGGGTTTAGAGGGATATTGGCCAAATGCTGGCAAATGGGATTGGATTTATTCAGGATATCTGGTCGAGTTGGACTAAAGGGACCGTTTCCATGGTGTATATCTCTATGACTCTATAAATCTGTAACTCCAGATATTTCCACAAAACTTGAAATAAATGTATTCTTCACAATCTTCAAAACTTAACCTCAAAACGATATTAAAAATAAAGCATCTTTGTAACTCCGATCAGTGTGAACCTTGCACACATCTATGAAGGTTCTCAAGCAGAATAACAAAATCATAGAGTCATAGAGATGTACAGAACGGAAACAGACCCTTTTAGTCCAATTCGTCCATGCTGACCAGATATCCTGGATAAATATAATCCCATTTGCCAGCATTTGGCCCATATCCCTCTAAACCCTTCCTATTCATATACCCAATCCAGATGCCTTTCAAATGTTGTAATTGTACCAGCCTCCACCACCTCCTCTGGCAACTCATTCCATACACGCACCACCCTCTACGTGGAAAAGTTGCCCCCTAAGTCCCTTTTAAATCTTTCCCCTCTCACCTTAGACCAATGCCGCATAGTTTTGGTCTCCTCCACTTGGGGGAAAACACCTTGGCTATTCACCCTATCCATGCCCCTCATGATTTTATAAACCTCTAAGGTCACCCCTCAGCCTCTGACGTTATAGGAAAAATAGTCCCAGTCTGTTCAGCCTCTTCCTAAAGCTCAAACCCTCCAACCCTGGCAACATCCTTATAAATCTTTTCTGAACCTTTTCAAGTTTCACAACATCCTTCCTATAGTAGGGAGATTAGAACTGCAGGCAGTATTTCAAAAGTGGCCTAACAAATGTCATGTTCAGCCACACCATGAGCTCCCAGCTCCTATACTCAATGCACTTACCAATAAAGGCAAGTGTACCAAATGCCTTCTCCACTACCCTATCGACCTGCCACTCCACTTTCAAGGAACAATGAACCTGTACTCCAAGGTCTTTGTTCAGCAATCCTCCCCAGGATCTTACCATTAAGTGTGTAAGTACTGCCCTGATTTGCCTTTCCAAAATGCAGCACCTCATATTTATCTAAATTAAACTCCATCTGCCATTCATCGGCCCATTGGCCCATCTGATCAAGGTCCCATTGTACTCGGAGGTAACCTTCTTCACTGTCCACTATACCTCCTGTTTTGGTGCCATCTGCACATTTACTAACCATACCTCCTATGTTCACATCTAAATCATTGATATAAATGATGAAAGAAGTGGACCCAGCACCAATCTTTATGGCATACGGCTGGTCAGAGGCTTCCAGTCTGAAAAGCAACCCTTCACCACCACCCTCAGTCTTCTACAACCAGCCAGCTCAGCGAGCAAGTCAATAACCTCACCGACAACCTGAGCTACAAATCTTCGCAAGAGCCTTGCTAACCAGTCTACCATGAGGAACACTGTCGAACGCCTTACTGACGTCCACATAGATCATGTCCACCACTCTGCCTTCATTAGTTCTCTGCGATTTTTGAAGACATAATGAAATCAAGTTCATTCGACACAATTTTCCATGCACAAAGACATGAACAAAGTTCTTGCCTTTTCAAGTACATGTAAATCCTGTCTCTCAGGATCCCCCAACAACTTGCCCAACAATGATGTCACACTCACCGGTCTATAGTACCCTGGCTTTTCCTTACCACCTTTCTCAAATAGTGGCACCACGTTAGCCAACTTCCAGTCTTCCAGCACTTTGCCTATCGATGATACAAATATCACAGCAAGGGGCCCAAGAATCTCTTCCCTGGCTTCCCACAGACCTCTAGGGTACACCTGATCAGGTCCCAGGAATTTATCCGCCATTATGTGTTTTCAGACGTCCAGCACCACTTCCTCTGTAATATGGACATATTTCCCTATATTCTCTATCTTCCATATCATTCTCCATAGTAAACAGTGAAGTAAAATATCTGTTTAGTATCTCGCCCATCTCCTGTGGTTCCACACATAAGTGGCCTTGCTGATCTTTAAGGGGCCCTCTTCTCTCCCTAGTTACCTTTTTGCACCTAATGTATTTGTAGAATCCCTTTGGATTTCCCTTAAGCCTATTTGCCAAAGCTATGTCCCTATTTTGCCCTCCTGATTTCTCTCTTAAGTATACTCCTGCTGCTTTTATATACTTCTAGGGAATCATTCGATTCCTGCTGTCTCTACCTGACATATGCTTCCTTCTTAGTCTTGGCCAAAACCTTAATTTCTCTAGTCATCCATCATTCCCTACAATTACCAGTCTTGCCCTTCACCCTAACAGTAACATACTGTCTCTAGACTGTCGTTATCTCATTTCTGAAGGCTGCCCATTTTCCAGCCAAACCTTTACATGCAAACATCCGTCCCCAATCAACTTTTGAACGTTCTTGCCTAATACTATCAAAATTGGCCTTCCTCCAATTTAGAACTTTAACTTTTAGAGCTGGTCTATCCTTTTCCATAACTGTTCTAAAACTAATAGAATTATGGTCACTGGCCCCAAAGTGCTCCCCCATGACACCTCAGTCACCTGCCCCACCGCATTTCCCAAGCGTAGGTCAAGTTTTGCACCTTCTCTAGTGGGTACATCCATATACTGAACCAGAAAATTTTCTTGTACACACTTAAAAAGTCCCTCTCCATCCAAGCCCTTAACACTACGGCAGGCCCAGTCTATGTTTGGAAAGTTAAAATCCCCTACCATAACCACGCTATTATTCTTACAGATAACAGAGATCTCCTTACAAATTTGTTTCTCAATTTCCTACTGACTATTGGGGAGAGTGTTCTATAGTACAATTCCAATAAAATGATCATTCCTTTCTTATTTCTCAGTTATCTCTTGAAAAGAAGTCAGTGAAGGTTCACATTGCAATTTTTTCTAAACAAGTCTTCTGAGAATTCACATGACTGGCAAGGACAGCTTGCTTTGCTGTAGACCCCTGCCTAGGCTGATTTGAACAGTGATTATCCTGGAGAGGTCCTTGTTTTATCTGGCTCAGTCGGAGGAAAGCCTACTAAAAACCAGCTGGCTTGGAGGAACGCTCGCTAAGAACAAGGTTCGTCGTTAATCTCTCTCACGTCTGAAAAGAAAACCTTCCTGTTGAATTAATAAGTACTCATTATAAACCGTGTGATTCTCAAAGTGAAGAGTACAATGTTATTTACATGCTGCAACATAACCCAAATGGACATTTCAAAAGAAATACTGTTATCTACAATCACCGAATTTCCCCCAACTGCATATGTTACTTTCCAACTCAAAATTACTGATCATATTATAGAAATGCAAATAGATTCTAATAGGCATTATTCCCCAAACAAGAAAATTCCTCCAACCTTGGCAGATATACTTCAACCTTCTGCTTCTTTACGGAGTTTGCCCATTCATTAATTAGTTGAGTTTTGATAAGTGGTTCTAAGGTAGCCAGTTGTACTTCTTGTCTTGGAAGAACTATCATCATACTCATCTCATCGCCAACGTAAGGCATTTCTAAAACTTGGTACACTCCTCCTGCCTCATTTGAGCCATCACTGAATTCACCTGAAAGAAAATAAGGTTACATTTATAAAGATCTTACAAACTTGGGATGTCACAAAATGCTTTACAGCCAAAAAGGTATTTTTGATGTGTAGCCTCCGTTGCAACATTGGATACACAGCAGCCAACATGGACACAGTAAGCTCCCACAAACCACACTGAGATAATTACTAGCTTAATGGCTTTAATGGTGTTGGTTGAATACAATTACGAGGGACACCCCCAATTCTTTATGGAAATAATGCAATGGGAACTTGCATTCAAATAAGGCCGCAGATGAAGCCTTTTTTTTAAAAATAGCAGCTATTTGAATGATTTTTCTTTGACAAATCAGTATTCCCTAAGGGGAGGCAACTGGACTGTTAATCCAGAGACCCAGATAACATTCTGCGGACCCAGGTTCGAATCCCGCCACGGCAGGTGGTGGAATACTGAATTCAATAAATATCTGGAATTAAGAATCTGACGATTACCATGAATCCATTGTCGATTGTCGTAAAAACCCATCTGGTTCACTAATGTCCTTTAGAAAAGGAAACTACCATCCTTACCTGGTCTGGCCTACATGTGCCCCTAGACCTACAGCAATGTGGTTGACTCTTAACTGCCCTCTGGGCAATTAGGGATGGGTAATAAATACTGCCTAGCCAGCGACACCCCTCATCCCATGAATAAATAAAGGGAAAAAAAAGCTTTACAGTGCAAGTCTAGATTTCATGATCAAATCTTTGGTGTAAGCACTGAACTTATTAGCTTCTGCCCCAGCTGACACCATGCATCACAACAAAATTATAAATGATGATATATTAAGTGAGTATATTGATTTTCAGCATCTTCAGTGTGTCACTGTCTATTGCTGAGTGCTATGATTCAAATATCCCTGCTACTGTGTAGTTATAACAGAGAACCTCAACTCGTTACGTTTAAAAAGGCTAAGGAAACAAAAGGACTACTGTTCTCTAACAAATTTAAACCTTCATTCCAAAGCCAGGTCAAATGAATGGAAAGGTCAATTTTAATTAACTGTGTAAATAAGCAAAATATTTGCAAACCGTAATTGAAATCTCCTTGTTGGTACATCATGGGTATCTGGATTTCGCTTTCGTCATCTTTGGTAAACTGAAATGTGCGGGTATTCTCCCCTCTAAATTCAGACTTCCAGTTTCCTTTGAAGTAAATTGCATTAACAAGGACTAGCCGAGTTAAAGCATCGAAGTCCTTTGGTGATAGGAGATTCGGTATCTTATCTGAGCAGAGAGGAAAGAAAATATGCAAGTACATCATCCCACAGAGATACAAATAACACGGGGATTTATATTGGCAGCAAAACTCACTGCACACTAAGCAAAATTATTCATGAGTAGTTTGTGAATGTAGCTATTGTTAGCACTCAATAGCAAACACACACACCTCTCTTTCATGTGTGGTGATTATAATTTATAGAGATTGATAATAAGGGGAAACAACGAGGAAATTGCTTACAGTTTGGAGCATACAGATTACTGAATTGAGCAAACTCATGTCAGTTGAACTGTGAGAAGGAGGAGAGGAATAATACACTGAATAGTAAATAATTAAAACAAGAGAGAGTGTCTTTTAAGTCAAGTACACAGTTCTTGAAATGATTGGGAGAAGGTAAACTGCAACAAAAAGGAGTGCCCGTCTTTTATAACAGAAATGTCCATGTCCATGTCCATGTCCAGAAGCAATATCAAGATGGTTGGACTGTCGTACCAGATTGGGAACTCTACATCAGGTAAGGGTGCAGAAGAGATTTTACCAGGTTATGGAATTTTATTTAACACTGACTAAAGAAACTGGCCTTTTTTTCATCAGAAGGAACAATGTTTGAGGAGCAATCTAATAGAATAGATCAAAATTATGTGGTACTTTTAGGAGCTAAAAAGGAAGGAACAATTTTCACTGGTCAATGCAGCAGAGAGCATATCTTCATAAGCAACACAAAACAAACAAGAAAGATGTTGGCAGATCTTTAACAGGCAGAGAGATCCTAGGATATAAAATGCTTTCCTCGGAACAGTAGTACTTGCAGCATCTGAAAATCTTTCATAAGGAAAGATGAACATTCAAAACAAAACAAAAGCAAATATAAAAATGAATATTTCAAAGGAAAAAAATTGAAGAGACAGGAAAGCTAATTATATCTGTCAGAAGTCACACGACACCAGGTTAGAGTCCAACAGGTTTATGCAAAATCACAAGCTTTCATAGCGCTGCTCCTTTGTCAGGTGGAGGCTTATAATTATATTTGTGTGCACATATTACGTCCCAAAGAGTTTAATAGGGCTTTTGAGAAGTAATATGTGACAGTTAGCCAAGAAAAGATATTCTAGGGAGATGATGAACAGCTTGGTCAAACTAATTTTTTTAAAAAATTCATTCATATGATGCAGGTTTTGCTGGCCTGGCATGCTTAATGCTTAAATACACTTGAGAAAATGGTGGTGGTGAACTGCCTTCTTGAACCATTTGGCGTGGGTATGTCCACAGTGCTGTTAGCGAGGAAGTTCCAGAATTTTCACCCAGTGACAATGAAGAACAGGCGATATAGTTTCAAGCCTGGATGGCAAGTGTCTTGGAGGGAAACTTGTAGGCAGGAGTGTTCTAGATAGCGTGTTTGCACATTTGGAGCCTTTGTGAATTTCGGTAGTGTATGTTGTAGTTGATACACACTGCTGTTACCGAGTGTTGGTGGAGGGAGTGAATGCGTGTGGATGTGATGCCAATAAAGCCAGCTTTGTCCCAGATGGCGTCAAGCTTCATGAGTATTATCGGAATTGCATATCTAAGCAAGTAGGGAGTATTCTGAACGCCTGAGTTGTACCTTAGAGATGGTAGACAGGCTTGGGGAATCAAGTGGCGAGTTACTGACTGCAGGATTCTAAGCCCAAGGTAACAATTTCAGTACTAGGCTGAGGCAGGGTTGTAACTGATTGATTGTACGGTGATGGAAATAGTCTTACAATCTTAGCGATGGCATGGTCATAGATTCAGAAGCTGATTAAATGGGGTCAGACATGACACTGAATTTGTGAACAAACTTGTTTGGCCTCACACAGTTGCCAGAGAGTGGAGAGTGGAATAGAGCCAGTAGGCAGCGAATGGAGTTTGTAACAGTGACCAAACAGAAACAGTAGCAGGGAACAAAGACAATGCACTTCCTAAGGTGCAAGAAAAATTCTGTTCATTCAATACTGGATGTTGCTGATATTTTATTGACAGCAGAACAGTCAAGGAGTAGTAGAGAGGTAGAGCTAGGTGTCATCATGTACATGCAGAAATTAATGCTGAAACAGGAGGGGGCCAAGGATAGATTGTTGGGGAACACGAGAGGTAACTGTGTAAGAGGATGAGAAGCCATTGAAAGTAATACTCCAGCTACAATTTGATAAATAAAAATGGGAGCAGGGGAATGCTGTCTCATCCAGATGGTTGATGGAGGAGAGGCATTTAGGGGACTAGGAAGGGAAGTCTGGTGGTCAGCAGTTGGCTGCGGATGGGTGTGTCTCACAGACAAGTTGGGAAGGTAAGAGGGAAAACTAGAGAAAGATGCAAATTCACAGCTAGGGCACATGGACATAGATGAAGTTGGAATAAAATCAGGAAAAATATTGGAGAAACTCAGCAGGTCTGGCAGCATCTGTGAAGAGACAGAAACAAGTCAACTTTTTGAGTTCAATTTCGCTCTTCTTCAGACTATATAGCAATTTATATTATGGTATTAGAGTCATACAGATATAGAGTCATGCAGCACAGAAACAGACCCTTTGGTCCAGCTTGTCAATGCCAACCTGGTATCCTAAACTGAACTAGGTCCATTTGCCTGTATTTGGCCCATTTTCCTCTAAACCTTTCCTATTCATGTACCTGTCCAAATGTCTTTTTAAATGTTGTAATTGTCACCCGCCTCTACCACTTCCTCTGGCAGCCCATTCCATAAATGCACCACCTCTGTGTAAAAATGTTGCCCCTCAGTTCGCCTTGAAATCTTTTCCCTCTCATCTAAAACCTACACTCTCCAGTTTTGGACTCCCCTATCCTTGGAAAAAGACATTGGTTATTCACCTCATCTATGCCTCATGATTTTACAAACCTCTTTAACGTCAACCTTTCAGCGTCTAACACTCCAGGGAAAAGAACGGTCCAGCCTCTCCTCAGAACTCAAAGCATTCAGTTCTGGCAATAACCTTGTAAATTTTGCTGTGTCCTTTCCAGTTTAAAAACATCTCTTTCTTGTGCAGGGCAGCCAGAATTGTATGTAGTATTCTAAAAGTGGCCTCACCAATATCTTGTAAAGCCACAACACTGCGTTCCAACTCCTACACTCAAACCTCTGACCAATGAAAGCAAGCACACCAAAATCATCTTCATCATATTCTATGTACAACTCCACTTTCAAGGAACTATGAACCTGCACCCCTAGGTTCTTCTGTTCAACAACCTTCCTTAGGCCCTACCATTAACTTTGTAAGTCCTGTCCTTGTTTGCCTTACCAAAGTTTATCTAACTTAAAACTCCATCCGCCACTTCTTGGCGCATTTCATCTAATCAAGATCTCACTGTACTTTTAGATAACCTTCTTCACAGTCCAGTATTCAAGTAAAACCATATAAGATGGCAAGGTCAAGAGGAGTGATTGAATATAGGGTGGGGCGTTTACAGAGAAAAAACAGGTCAAGGAAAGAATAAGAGGGAAGTAAGCATCAAGAAGAGAAAATGATGAGTTGAGATGGAAGGTGGAATTGTGAAGTAGGAGAAGTTGTTTGGTGCACAGTCTGATTGAAAAAAGCAGTCAGGGTATCTCGATGAAAAAAAAACTTGAAAAACTTGGTGGTGTGATAGAAAATGAGCATTTTAAATGAGAATTAAGAGGGGTAGGGCAAGGTGAGAAGGTGCTATAGAAGTAAGAGGGCAAACCAAGATGTGATTTAGTCACAAAAGCCACTCCACCATCATGACGACCCTGGAAAAATAAATAAGTTGATTAAAGGCGTTGATGGATGGACAGGCTACAAATTAGGGGCAAGTGTCATCACCCCTCTCACAGGTTTCCATCAAAGCCATGATGCTGATGTAAACACCACAGCGGTTGGCAACGGCATCGTTCACAAAAGAATCAAGGTGAGGAGAGTTTTTTTTAATTAATTCATGGGATGTGGACAATGTTATCTTAGCAAACATTACTGCCAATTCCTAACTGCTCTGGAGAAAATGGTGGTGAGCTGCCTTCATGAAACACTGCAGTACTTTGGGTGCAAGGACAGCTACAATGCCATTAGGGAGTTCTGGAATTTTGACCTAGTGGTAAAAGGTGATTCACTCCCAGAGGGGAAAACCCACATGGACGAGGGGCAGCACTAGGAAGGGGAGGGCGGACAGAAAAGATAGTCAAAATTTGTGCCCGGGGATGCTAGATATGAATTTCAATGACAGCAGGGATGGGACAATTGCAGTTGTTGTAAGTAGCAAAGCTGCGCTGAATGCCTCAGTGAACTTTTTAAAGAACATCAACAGAAAGATGAAACGAACGTTGTAAGAGTATCTAAAACAAATGCAAGAGATAGTAGGAACTGCAGATGCTGAAGAATCTGAGATAACAAGGTGTAGAGTTGGATGAACGCAGCAGGCCAAGCAGAAAGGTTCTGAAGAAGGGTCTAGGGCCCGAAACGTCAGCCTTCCTGCTCCTCTGATGCTGCTTGGCCTGCTGTGTTCATCCAGCTCTACACCTTGTTATCTCTAAAACAAACGCAAGCCTGGGACAACAACAGAATGGGACTAAGTGGATAATTCTTCAACAGAACCAATGCAAGCACAACAGGCTGAATAGGTTTCCTCTTTACGGCACAACTCGGATTCTGTGCAATGGTACAGTTAATAAAAACACAGGCATCTGCATTAATATAATTGTACAAATTGACAATACTTACTATTGGTTTGATTCTGCACCCACTCATTGATATGATCAGCCACAGAAGAAGGCTGGCTGAAGTCGATACTTTCAACACTGGCACTGAAATATTCTTTAAGCATTTGAAGGAACTTATCACTCAGTTGAAATCCTTTCTCCACAAACAACGAGTTGACAAGCTTCACTACATACTGCTGGCTGTCTGCTTTCATGGATTGAGACAGGTCCCGCAACAAGTCAAATTCCTCACCTGATTAAAACAGAAATCAACAACTTTACAAAATATATATCCCTTAAAAATGCTGTGCAATGTTGCCTTCATTGTAAGAATAATGAAAATTAAATATTCAAGGGCAATATATCAGAATACTTTAGATATTGTCCATGCAACAAAATACATTTACCCAAACAATGCTTGAAACAGCAATGTGCAATAATTATGCCAGTGATAACGAAGTTAAATTTATGATGTTATGGCTTTTCTGGAATGTTTAAGATCTACTAATTGGCTGATGGAAACTTTATCCAAAAATATACATTCAAATGGAGGATCAAGATTCATGTGTTATACCCTTTCTAAAGAGCAGACAATGGGCAATGGGCAATGCTTCAAGACTATGAAATCAAGGTGAACTAATACTGATTGCAGGATCTTTTTAAGCTGTGAACTTAACCAGCCAGAACCATGCTTATATATTCACATTTAAGGGTCTTACGAATATACCACAGACTTACTAACCAAAATCAATTCACCTTAATAAACACAACATATACCTTTTTGCAAGTAGTTGTAGCCCATGGCGCGTTGAATTTGCTCAAGAGTTGTACTCCCAGCACCAAGCTCAACCATTCCTAAGGCATTAGCAATACTAAATGGGGAGTAAAAAATGTTGCCATCTTTCTCCAGTGACCGCAAGTGATGGTAAACTTTCACAGAAAAGTCAGCAGTGATACCATCCCGAATGCCTGCATCAGCCGCAACATATTTCACAATCAACAGGGTCAGAAATCCCAGAAAAGATGTCATTTTTGAATTAATTTACAAATCTATGGGAAGAGGAATTGCAAATTAGAATTGAAAAATACTTATGAAAACCTCATACTACAAAAAATTTAAAAATGTAATATTGCCTATATATCTGAAACGTTGAGTATAATGAATAGCATTTCAATGTAATCACCTTTACAAGAAAGAAAATATTGGAATATTGTATTCTATGCAACCGAGAAGCAGAGGGATACCAGCATTGGGCATAGGTCCAAAGCAGAGTTAAAGGAACCGAGGCAGCTCCGATATTTTTCAGTTATGGCAATGTGAAAGGAGTTATGCTAGGCAATGGCAGAGAAGATAAATTGTTGCATTGTCTTATACCTCAGAAGTATCCCAAAGTGCGACAAATTAATTTGAAGTGTGGTTTTGGACATACAAAAGTGAGATTACAAAAAGTAATTTTGCAGCAGGTATTCGTCAGTTTGACTGGACATTAGCAGGCCTTCCATCTCCTGTCATTCTGTTGGAAACTGTTGGTCTAACTTAAAGCTTTACCTAGTTACCATTTGAAAATCTCTGCAGTTTGGATTAATACAATCCAAAGGACAGGCTGTGTTTAATTTTCACCACTGCTCATCATCTTGATTCTGGCCCTAAACTCAGTCAACTTTTCTTTCCTTTTCCAACTCGCCCTCACCCACTATCCACTTCCCACCAATGCTAAAGTCTTTAGTCAATCATTGCATATATCAATAACATAGTACTCTGTATCAAACAATGATTCATTTCAGCTGCCTTCTGCACCTTCATGGCATCAGTATGCAACTTTGCAACATGAATCATCCCTTGCCCTTGTTTGCAAACTCCCTCTCCATTTTCAAGGTAATTTACTTTTGTAACCTCCCCCAGTGTCAACATGCTTGTGGTCAAGATGATGGCAGAGTAGGACACTCTAACAAGAGCCCCTCTACTCCTTATGTTTATTTCTCATTTTCTTCTTTGTTTCCCCCCTTCCTCCCCTCTTGGTGTTATCTCCTGAGGTAAAGCAGGCTGGAGACCCAAGCAGAGACAGGACAGGACAGCGGGGACGGAGATGATTGTTAGACTGGGGACCGGTGCGGGCGGTCAGTAGTTTGCGAGCCCAGGCAGACCACGTATAGAAGGCCCCTGCACTGATCTACTGCAGACCCTTTATAGAAAGGTTGTAATGCTTATCTTTTTAACTTTAATCTCATTTTTCTAAATTATACTATGAACAACGGTAAGTAAATGTAACTTTTTTCCTCTTTCTTTTTCCCTTGATTTCTGTCTTTTATATCTAAGATCTGTACCTAGGTATTTGTACCTATGATGGCAACTTATGGGGTGACATTGTAAAATTTTCACTGTATTCCTGTACTTCCATACTTGAGTAAACATGATGATAAAGGATATTCTGAAGGATATTCTAATTCTACTCTGTTCTTTGATCTTCTGATTCAGAACTTATGTGGATCTGATCCCATGGTCGGAACAGAGCTTTCAGTCATATCCCTATTTCCTAGAAGTTTTCCCCAAAACGTTGCTACTTCTTTAAAAGCCTCTGTAAGATCACAGTTGGGCCATCTTGCATGATTTTTACTACCTGCCAGCCAATCCTCTTCCCTCCAGTAGGGTGCTCTATAAATGCTAGTTGTTTCAGTTTTCATTAATATATGAAGATAATAAAAAAACTGAAATTCATGTTGTACAGATGCATTTTTTTCTTGTACTATTTATCACTCAACCATCAAATTGAAAACAGGTTACTTGGTTAATTATCTCATTGCATATTGTGGAATCTTCTAGCATAAAAATTGGCTATCACACTTCAATGTTTTAACAGTATAATGATGATTTAACACTACAATGATGACTGCACATCAAAAAGTACACTTGATTGACAGAAATAAGTTTCTCATACCCATTGCTTCCATTAATCCTCCAATCAGTTGAATGGACAAATCTAAGTCATCACCTGTTCAAGCCACATTACGTTTAATGCTATCCATTTCTTGTGTTTCTATGCAAGACATCATTGGAACTCATTTTACAAGCTAACTGAAAATTACATTGGGCAGTAACACTTCTAGACTTCAGAAAATAGGGTAATTTAATTTCACGCTCAAATAAAGCCGATAATATTTTAGCTTCTTGTCAATAATGTCAACCATTAAACAATGGTTTCTGATAGCCTAAATCCTTCTGTCATATTGGCTCATGCTGATTGCTTTCCACAATTACAGTGGTATACAAGACTTACTTCATTAAAAAAATTGCACACTATTGCTTTCACATTCAAATAGCACAAAAATAAATACAAAAAGATTATTTTTGATATAGAGTAAAAAGGTTACATTAATACAAGTCCTGAGTTTGAATAGAGTGTCCAATCACACATTTAAGTCTGAATTTTTTCCATCATTTATACTAGCCATGCTGACACAGTAAAATTCAGAGGAAACCAAAGCTCCATATAGTATAGTCAATAGATGTGAAGCAGGAAAAACACAGCAGGTCTGACAGCATCCGAGGAGCAGGAATGTCAACATTTCGGCCCAAAACATTGACATTCCTGCTCAATGTTTTGGGCCAAAATGTTGACATTCCTGCTCCTCGGATGCTGTCTGACCTGTGTTTTTCCTGCTTCACATCTATTGACTCTGGCTTCCAGCATCTGTAGTCCTGACTGTCTCCACTCCTTTTGGTATATACACATTACGTTCCAAGTTATACTGCACATCCACCAATGGAACCATGAATCAAAATATACAGGCTTCTACTTTGCATCCACGAAGCTGAAGCCACAAATGAGGCATGAAAGGAAACAATTTAACAAAGACATTAGTGTTGTTCACATCAATGTAACTTGTCACTTATTGAACAGAGACAGAAACAATTTATCAAAGGAGTCATTTATCCAAGGCATCCCCAGTTTCACTGCATTAATTTAGAATTAAACTTATACAGAGTCCCTGATTTATGAACATCCAACTTATGAACGCGATCCCATACCAGGGTGTAATTTTATAAATACAACATACAAACATATCCCGTATTTATGAACGGCTGTTTTATATTTTACTGCATTGTGTTCCAACTTGCGTGCAAAAAGAGTTGCAAAAGGAGTCAGGATTGGAACCCATTCTCAACCCAGAAACTGCTGGCATTGTCAGTATTCACAGATACCTGCAATGTAGTGAAGCAGTATTGTTTATTTACATCACTTCTAAATGTCAGAAATTGTGTCCAAAGATCTGTGGTAAAATGGTACCACTTGAAAGCAGGGAAGTACAGCTTCCTAAAAAAGCATTAACTATCAAGATAGCTCCATGATAACAAACTAAAGCTCATCTTTAAAACCTATCGAGAATATTAACCTCCCTTATATCTTTTACATCCTTGTCAGATCTGGTATCCATCATAATGAAAACTGCACCATGATCCTTGAATAATAATTTAGCCAATTATTTGTTTTAGCTCCTACCTCCATCACCCTCTCAACTGAAAATACTTGTAGCAAATTTGTTATTTTTTAATTCACCTGAATACACAGAAGCTTCAGCAAACTTCTCAACTTTACGAGACTGCAGTGATGACAATTTGTAATGGTTAAAAACAAACTGCATGATAATGCTATGATTCCAGATACTTAAAATATGTCTGCACAGCAACTATATAACTACATTTCATAAAGCACTTTGAAGCAGTGTCTTAAGTTAACTGTGCAGAAGATCAGATGCTGTGGAAATCTGCAATGGTCAATCAAGATGTGTTTCTCAGAAAAATAACTATTATAGCTTTATCACCATGTAATCATTAGAGATTTGGCATCTATCAGTCTAATTAAGTTAACGACACAGCAGCCTATGGAACACACAACTAAATCAGCTCTAACCAGAATTATGGGCACCCCTTCTGCTAACTTGGCATGTTTGTTGGTATTTTAAGTCATGCTGTTCTTTGAAAAGCTCAATTTTACTTACATTGTCTTTGTGAAGCAACTCATTTTTTAAAAGATAACTAGTAATTTGAGGAAATAGCATTGAGAGATTGGGGAGGTTAATTAATTCTGAGTGAGATGTAAGATCAATACTCTTAGCATAAGAAACAAACATACAGGAAACAAAGTGCTGCCAGAACATTTCTCTTTTCCCTTCTGTTCCCCACTTAGGCTTTTGCCAGCAAATAGTTGGAACCAAGAAGGTCATCATATCATTTTTCTGATTCAGCTCAAATGTAATTAAATTATCCAAGTAAATATCAAGTTCATCCCTAAAAGTTAACATTATGTTTTTTGGTTTTGAGATTTGTTCTAATGTCCAGAAGTTTGCATATAGTAGCCCAGTGTTGTATGCACTATCTCCATCCAACTGCCTCATTACTACTTCCCGTTAACTCACCATCATGCCAACAATGCATTCTGTGCTTTAAGGATATGTCAAATAATGATTTTTAAATGACTTGCTGGAAACGGGAATTGAAATTTTAAAGAAAGATCTGTAAAAATGCAGACTAAAGGCAATTTGAGAGCATAGCCAAAGATACCCACCCAAAATTGCACTACTATGCATTTCACAAAGCAATGGATACTAGGTCTGCAAAAATCAACCAAAGATATGATCCCTGGAGAATGTGAAGGGCCCAACATCTCCTGCCCTACTCACAAGGCAATTAAGGTAACTGATCATTAACACTAATCACATGGACAGCAGACCCTATCAAAGACAGTTTTCTAAACTTCGACTAATCAAGTCACCTCATTTGGATTCTACTGGCAGTTGAAGACCACATGAGAAATTACCCTTTGTATGTTTTAAGCACATTTTCTCAATGGAGTTGGGAAGAAGGATTTGAGAAGTGATCCTTAGCATGTTCTAGAGTTACCAGGGTCTTTCTGATCATCCTGAAACAGGCCCAGTCTTGATTCTGTGCAAGCCCTCATTTCAAACATCTATCTTTATTTTCATTGTTACTTATCCAGTTCTGCAATGAGTAAATCTAAAAACCATAGCTCTATCCTGTTTTAATAAAGCCTAAATTCAGATGGGACACGAGGTCTTCCAATTCATGCCAGGGAATTTGGTGGTCAAATTTCTGACTTCCCTGGCTTTTACAAATGCTGTCAATGTACTACAGAATTGTGCAAAAATCTCGATCATCTAACATACTGGGCAAGACCCTGGACTTTTCTAATATCTAAAATACTGGACAAAATCCTGAGCTCGGGCTGCAACAAATACACACAGAGCCAGAATGATTTTTACCTGGGACTACTGTTCAACCTGGAATTTGAATTTACACCTCCACTCTCAGAGAACAATCAATCAAACCTTACACTCTGGACAAAACTAATTTTTACACCTCGAGCTAGCCAACTCAAATTATTATGCAGCCTCAGAGATACAGTACTGGACGTTCAACTTCAATCAAAATACATTCACACACACTCTTAACTATCAGGAGGCCGACCAACCTCAAAGGGAACACCAGAAATACAATGACAACACAGATTTGATAGAAGATAATGGAGTACACAGTCTGTACAATTGCTAGCCCTGATCATACTGGGATGTGGAGGTGCCAGTGTTGGACTGGGGCGGACAAAGTCAGAAGTCACACGACACCAGGTTATAGTCCAACACGTTTATTTGGAATCACAAGATTTTGGAGCACGGCCCCTTCGTCAGTTGCAGTGAGAGGTTACCAGGGAGAGAGCCTTTTTCAACAACAAGCTTCTACAGAGAACAGCTTCCCCACAGGCTTCCAGCCCCAACAAACAGCTTCAGAACCAAGAACCACAGAGGCTGAACAGCGAAGCTGAATCAGGAAGCCAAACCAAAGGCATCATCGCAACAAAGGGCATCCGAGACGGGGGAGGCCAACCAAGCGCTATCCAAACAAGAGCTTCCAGACACAGGCCTATTCTGGACCAAAAGAACCAACAAGAACCTCAGCAACTGGACACACTTTCAAACTGCGTTTTCATCAGTGGTGAGCTGAAACTCCCGAGATCGCATAGTTCTGACCTAGATAGCAGGGAGGGGAAGACAGTTAGTGACAAAGCATGGGGGTCCAAGGGTAGGAAGCCTGATTAAAGATTCTGTGATTAAAACTGTTGTTTTAGGTTCTAATAGTGTTTAATTTGTATTAATTACTGTCCTCTGTGTAACTGATAGTGTCAATTCCACAGTTTATTATATTTGCCCTTATTTCATGTACTATACTTACTTTTTTGTATTTAATAAACACAGGTTGTTTTGCCCTGAAACACCTGTCTACTTCCTTCTTCATTTCACATTGCTAAATAAGTCCAGTGTCAGAACCAGGGATCTCGGGGCAATTTGAACCAGGTAAAAATCAGAAAATTACTCATTCACAAACCAGAACCCTACAGTATATGGGATTTTTAGCCTTGTTTCTTCATTGAGAAATTCTATAATGCAGCTGCTTTTGTTTTCTTCCCTGTTCTGGCTTAGGCTATGACTCATATTTTTACATTTACATGTGCTTGTTCGTTGTGTTTGAACTAGCCCATGAAGATGTCTTTACAGCCCTGCAGTTTGCACAGCCAATTTGAAACTGACCTGCTTCTTGGAAGAACCACTATCAACCAATCCCCAAATCCTGTACTCTGTGTACTGCCAGTGCCATTGTTATAGTGATTTTGCCTCCTGGGATTTCAAGGTAAGTACGGCTTTTATGATGATTCAAATCCTGTCTAAAGTGTTTCTAATGGTCTTCAAATATGCAATGCCACTTTCACACCTAAGCAAATCCACTGCAGAGAAGTATGTTATGTTTTTGTGATAACTTTCATAAATTTATCAATCTCATACCAGGCCTGGTAAATGGGCTTGGTTCTGTTCATTTCAAAATCAACTGCAGTCTTATTGAGAAAGACAGGCCAGTTCAACAAGTTCACAACTGTTGTTACAGGAAAACAAAGCTTGGCTCCTTCACACTACATGCTGTAAGTTAGACCGAAAAAGGTAAAATAAGGGTTTTTTTTTTGATGGTATGTTGTTAAACACAGCGGATGTCCAAGGAGACTTGGGAGTTTCAGATGCAAAGATCGTTAAAATGCCACAAACAAGTGCAGAAAATAATCAAGAAAGTTAATGGGAATGCAGGCCTTTACAGCTAAGAGGACTGGAGTATAAGAACATGGACGTTACTCTGTAGGTATACAAAACCCTGGTTAGACCCCACTTGGAATACTGTAAGCAGATCTGGACATGACGCCTTAGGAAACATATATTGACTTTGTAGGGAGTACAATATAGGCTTACAAGAATGACATCTGGACTTCAAGAATTAAGTCATGAGCAGAGATTATACAAATTATGCCTGTTTATTTTCCTAGAATTCCTAGTCTTCAAGATAATAACAAGAAAAGACAGAGTAGGTAAACTCTTTCCACTAGTCAGGGATTCTAGATCTAGGGGGACATAGTCTGAGAATTAGGGTCAGACAATTCAGGAGAGATGTTAGGAAGCATTTCTAAGGCAAAGTTTCATAGAGGTTTGTAACTTTCTTCCACAAATAGCAGTGGATGCTGATCAGTTGTTAATTTTAAATTGGAGACAGATATATTTTGCTTTTTTTTTCCTTTATTCATAATGGGATGAGGACATTGGCTGGCTAGGCAGCACTTATTGTCTAACAGGTCAGAGTCAACCACATTGCTGTAGGTCCGGAGTCACATGTAGGCCAGACCAGATAAGATTGGCAGATGACATTAGAGAACCAGGTGGGTTTTTCTGACAATCGACAATGGATTCATGGTCATCATTAGATTCTTAATTCCAGATATTTTAATTGAATTCATCTGCTGTGGTAGGATTTGAACCCAGGTCCCCAGAATGTTATCCGGGTCTCTGGATTAACAGTCCAGTGGTAATATCACTGGGCCATTACCTGCCCGTAGCAAAGGTTTTAAGGAATGTGTGCCAAAGGCAGGCATAAGGAGTAAGGTCATAGATCAGCCGTAATTGCATTGAATGGTGGAACAGGTGCAAGAGGCAGAATGACCCATTCCTGTTCCCATGATTGATAATGGCTACTATTAATATTCCAGTTACTTGCCTACTACTGTATATCCTCTTAGCATAATAAAAACATGATATAAATGCAGAGACAACAAGGCGTAGAGCTGGATGAACACAGCAGGCCTCTACACCTTGTTGTGTCAGATTCTCCAGCATCTGCAGTTCCTACCATCTATGATATAAATGCATATTGTTGCACTCAATAAAATTACCACCCTCTTATTACCAAGTATATCATTCTCATTGCTACAATACACATTCCAACTCAACTCAAAAATTAATAAATAATCTTGTTTTTACAAAATGTGTCACTTTAAATGCTTTTCCTGCTATCCTGCATCAAACTCAAGATTCCTCATTCTGCAGCTCTTCTTACTTTGGATTTGGACAAATAACACAAATGGAACAACCCCAACTTAATATTTCTTAGGACTTCAACATTCTGCAGCTACTTCATTTTCAGTTTTTATTTCATTCTTCAAACATAAATTTTACAATCCAAGTACAGGGCCGCTTAAACATTATGTTCTAATTTATCATATCTTCCATCCTTCATTATAGTTTTAACACCTCTGTGATTATTACCTGGGAAACAATGCCAGAATAAAAGACAAACTGTACAACAATTGTGCAACCAACTCAATAAGATTGATGTTAATAGCATAAAAATAGCAAGTACGTTATTCTTATACAATTTAATTATTCAAAATAAACAAAATATGGAAAATGATATTTTGATTTTTTGGCTTGAAAACAAGAACAAAACCTAAACTGGACATTTACATCCGGTTAATTGCATTTAATGGCCATTGCACAACTTTCAGATAATTATTTTTCAGCTTGTTTGGTCTCTCCACTTTGAGTCATAAACATTGATTAGTTTTGTTATCTAGAGTTTCGGTTACAGGCAAACACACAATCGACAGATCTCTATAAAAATACATGCAGATAATAAAAGCCAAAGTGGATAAGTATGCGGTGTATGCATTCAAATAATTTGTTGCTCACTCTCAATCAAAACATCAGACTACAGTGTGACCTAAGACCCTAATCAACTATTTCCTTTCTTTACAAACAACTGCCTGAATAAAATTTATGGATTAATTTATGGATTTGTTTATAAAATTAATTATATTACTTTAAGTGAAAATATTGACAATGTGCAGTTTCAATGGTAAAACTGAAGTGTACATTGTGTTAATGATATACTTGACAGCAGATCATAAGGACAATGGTCAGTACCATATTTATGACTAATCAAGCTATATGAATGATGATGTGGAGGTGCTGGTGTTGGACTGGAGTGGATAAAGTCAGAAGTCACACAACACCAGTTCTCTCTGCCTATAAATTCTGTGTCTGTGTGTTCTTCTCTCACACTTCACCTGACGAAGGGGCTGCACTCCAAAAGTTTGTGATTTCAGATAAACCTGCTGTTGTGTAACTTCTGACTGTATGAATGATGGCAATTCTGCAGTGTGATGAGCACTCTTGAAAATAAGGCATTTGTTTCCTTCTGGGTGATACAATATTGCAGAATATCAGATAAAACTTCTTAACCTTCTGGATTAAAAGACAGATAGCAATCCAAGACTGGGTAGTTAAACAGCAAAATGACAGCAACAAACAAAGCCAAATCACTCAATGCCAATAATAAATGCAAAACAACTGCACAAACATCAGGAATTAATGCATTGTATGACAATAACTAAGAGACAAAAATCATGATTTCAACCATACATTGAACATAAAGCATGAATCATTTAGACTAAAAAACATGTAATTCCAGATATTTAAAATAGCTTCGTCAAACATTACAAAATAACGTTTTGAAGGGATGCAAAAAATATTTTAAAAGCCCCCTAAGTATATTACCAGCAAAAACATTCATTACCTTAACGTACATCAGCAGTTATGTCAATGTGTGTAGGTAATTTTCCTGCAAATAAAAATTCAACGATTAAATACTGCAACGTTTCACTTGGAATTCACATCTAACAATGCATTGTGCTTTTCTGCCAGATATTTCATCCTGCAACTTTTTTTTTGCCAGTTGGTCGATTACTTAATTATTTAGTCTATCTTTTTTGAATTCATTCATCAAAAATGATACAAGCGGATTAAGCAATGTACATTCAAAAGGTCGACAAGCTGTAGCTTGCGTTGTACACAAATCAGGTACAGTACAAGCGATGAAATGACTAATACTGAAACGGGCGGTGCCGAAACCCAGGATTTATCAATACCCTACAATAGTGAGACTAACGCTTCCAAGTCAGACAGCTCCAGCTGCACTTACGAAACACCTCCTTCAGCTTCCACTCCTGGGTTAGGATTAGATTTTCACGGACGGTATGCAACTCAGACAAAACACAGAACAGCCGCTATGGCTTTCTGCGTTTAATAAACAGTGTCAAGAACTTGCTTGTGGCATTTTCTCTTATCACAGCAAAGGTAGGTCGAAAAGACAATGCAGACCTTTATTTTTGAGATTTCCAAATAGGTAACTGCACTGAGCAAGTTGTATTAGACAAAGCACTGGATGTAGATTCCCACAACCCTCACAGCTCTGCAGATTACGCCAGAATTTCTGCGCACTAGTGGTACTGCATGAAGCCTCACACGGTAGTCCCGCCCCTCCACGGCAAGGCCCCGCCCCACGCACGCCGTCTTGACCAGTCCTAGATTTTCATTGGACAATTGGACTTCAATCATTCCGATGACGTTAGACCGCAGTGTTCTCTGGCTCTTGTAGTTCCTCAGACGTCCAGGAGCAGGCGCAGTCATGAACAGGTCTACCATGACCGGCAGCCCCTGCGCAGAATCCTCAGTACTGATTGGCTCAAGCTCGACAGGGGTTTCCGGTCGAGCCGTTGCCGACGCTGCGCTTCCCTCTTGTTGGTGCTGGAGGCGTCGAAAGGCAGTGCCGTGAGCGAGGTCACCGAGGAGCCAGGTCTCGGGGAGGGGGTTGGCTGCGGCCGTGGTGTATTCAAAACCCCCGATGCGTGTGGGTGAGTCCTTGTCACCGTCTGTGTTGCTGGTTCCTAGGCCTGGCCCCCGATGCCGTTTCTCCACCCCCCCCGGTCAGTGGGAAGGTATCCGCCCAGCCCAGACTGGGCCGCGGGCCGAGGGGCTACCCGCCTCACGCTCCCCAGCCTCTCGGCAGCCAGAGCTTCACGGGTACGGCTCAGTTTTCTATATGAACCAAATAATCTCGGAGGATTTGGAGAAGCTTTAATTAGAGAGGCAACTTGCGGAAGTAGATGTTTGAATTGTAGCTGCCCGGAATGTGTATGAACAAACCTGGGTGTGTGCAGCATCTCAGTTAGTATTGATCAGCCGTTCATGCATGAAAGCTCACCGCTGCCTTTTAATGCACAGGCAGGCGATCGAAGCCTTTAGTCTTCTGGAGTCTTACATTTAAGTAAGTCACAGGTAAATGTTATCCCTTGGAGTTCTTAAGTTTGCGTTAGGTCAAGTACGACGACTTAAAGGGACATGCGACAATTTGCGATAGCGACCGTTTCAAAATTTCGGATGCATTCTTAGGGTTTCTTTTCATTGTGAAAACCGAATGTAATGGCATAGGTTTGGGCAGCAACTCAACCTGTGGTTTTGGGTAACAGTAGGATCGTTTCTGGGATTTGAATAATATGCTGCTAAAGTTTCTACAGCAATATAATGGATATTATACGAAGGCTAAATAGATTTCTAGTACATCATTTGATTAGTGGTCAGGTCTCTAAATTGAAATAATTTTGTAATTTCGTTTGTATCCTTGTAATTATCACGTGTCACTTATATTCACAACTTTTACGATATTTTAGTAAAAACCGAAAGAACTGCGGATGCTGTAAATCAGGAACAAAAACAGAGTTGCTGGAAAAGCTCAGCAGGTCTTGAGAAGCATCTTTGTAACTTCCACAGATAAAAATTGTACATCTGGATAAAAATGCGGATGTTAGAAGTGATGATCAGAAGCCTAGTCGTAGCAGAATTGACATGCAAACAAAAAATATAACGTATGAGCAGGAGCAGGCCATTCACTATGATCATCAAACTAAGTATTCTGCTCCTGCTTTCTCCCCATATTCTTTGATCACTTTATCCTCTAGAATTATATCCATCTCCTTCTTGAGAATGTTCAATGTTTTAGCCTCAACCAGTTTCTGTGACAGAGAATTCTACAGGCTCACCACTCTCTGGATGAAGAAACTTCTCCTCATCTCAGTCCTAAGCAGTCAGTCCTGTATCCTTGAACTGTGATCCTTGATTCTGGACTTGCTGGTTGTCGGATGCATCCTTCCTATATTTATGCTGTCTAGCCCTGTCAGAATTTTATAGGTTTCTATGATATCCCCCTTATTCTTCTAAATTCAGTGAAAATGGTCGTAACAATCCAGTTTCTCCACTTATTTCAGTCCTGCCATCCCAGGAATCAGTCTAGTAAACCCTCATCGTGCTTCCTCCACTGCCAGAACATCCTTTCTCAGATAGAGACCAAAATTGCACATAGTACTCTAAGTAAGTCTCACCAAGACCCTGTTCAATTGCAGCAAGATATCCCTGCTCCTGTACTCAAATCCCCTGCTATGAAGGCCAAAATACCATTGGCCTTTTTCACTGCCTGCTGGATCTGCATGTTTACTTTTAGCAGCTGGTGTACATGAACACCCAGGTCTCTTTGCACCTGCCTCTTTCCCAATCTATCAGCGGTCAGATAATCTGCCTAACTGTTTTTGTTACCAAAGTGACTAACTTCACGTTTTTCTATATCTGCCATGCATTTGCCCACTCATTCAATTTGTCCAAATTACACTGAATCATCTCTGTATTCTCCTCACAGTTCACTCTTCCACCCATCTTTGTGTTGTCTACAAAATTTAAGATATTACATTTTGTACTCTCCGTCTAAATCATTAATGTATATTGTGAATAGCTGAGGGCCTATCACTAATCCCTGCAGTACCCCCACTCGTCACTGCCTACACTTGAAAAAATAACTATTTATTGCTACTGTTTTGTTTCCTGTCTGCTAACCGGTTCTCTATCCAAGCCTATCTCTAATACATTAATTTTACATGTTAATCTGTTATGTGGGATCATACTGAATGTCTTCTGAATGTTCAAGTAAAGAACATCCACTGAATCCCCCTTATCAACTCTACGAGTGACATCTTCTCTAAATTCCAGTAGATCTGTCAAACGTGCGTTCCCTTTCATAAATTCATTCTGATTCTATCCGATCTTGGCACTGTTTTCCAAGTGCTGTGCTGTTCAATCTTTTATACTGGACTCTGGCATTTTCTTCACTACTGATATCAGGCTAACTTGTCTATAGAATCATAGAGTCATACACATATAATTCCCTGTTTTCTCTCTGCTTTGTTAAAATCAACGTGGTTACATTTAGCTATGCTCCAATCCATAGGAACTGCTGCAAAATAATGACAACCATTGAATCCAAAGTTTCTGGGGCCATATCCTTAAATACTGTGGAATGCAGATTATTAGGCCCTGGGAGTTTATCAGTATTTATTATTATTCAGAATTATTCGGTAATTCTTGTTAGATGAATGTGATTTCAGTGAAAATATAATTGCATCAAGATTTATTTAAAACTTTACTATATTTATCTGAATTGCTTTACCTGGTTTTGCAATAAATTATATTAATGGTTTAGGTATACTTATAATGCATAATCAAAGTACATCTGAATATTGTCAAACAAATTAATGGACTGGTTCTGATTTGATTGAGAAGTTATTTTTGGACTCCTGTTTGAAAGAAATTTTAGATTCAATAATTTATGGTTCAATATCTACTTTGATTTTTCATGTGGCCAATGAAATAATCTGTTCCACTTTAATAAAAAAAAACTGACATTAATTTTGCTTTCTCTAATATTAAATACTTTCTCTTGTATGTAAGTTGACTATGGGTGAAAATGTAGTCTCGGCCATGTAGCTATATATGCTGCAAAAAAAACCCAGAAATTGTTTGAGAAACTGAGCAGGTCTAGCAGCTACTGGAGAGAAAGCAGAGTCAATATTTCAATTCTAGTGACCCTTCATCAGAAGCTTCTTCAGCAATTTCTGTTTTTATTTCAGACCTTCAGCATCTGCAGTTCTTTGTTTAGTTTTAGTCAAACACTGCAGTTTGTCTGTCTTGGCCTGAGACATCTTGTGAATTTGGTCTGTAATCATTTTTCACTGGTGTGAGTGATCTGCTTAGAGATTTTGTGTGACGTTCTCGAGCGTGCTGCGAGTCCTTTTGATTTTTGTATGCTGAGTAATACTTTTTAAATAATCTTAATTATCTGTTCATAAACTGGAATGTCAATCTTACGCCAAGTTTTGGAAGAATGTGCCAAGTGTTTCATGCTGCATTCTGAGATTTGTAATCGCATGGATTAAGTAATGGATTTTATAGTTAATGGTAAAAATTTAGCACTTGCTGTTCATTTATGCGTATGTTTATCTGCAATATCTGTGGGCTTTTATGTTGCAATTTTCAGTTATCAGAATGTCAGAACAGCACTGCATTCTCTAGAGGAGTTTGATATGAGCAGGGCAACCAACAGTGTGTTTCTCTACAACCAATCAGATTCAAGGTTCCTATCAGAGTCATAGGGAAGTATGAATTAGAAACAGTACTTCAATGCCTAATTATCTTCATGAAATTGAACTAGAAAGGCCAAGTGAGCTAAGAGACAAAAGTAAAGAAAATTTGTTGATCCCATTTTTAAAATAAACTAAATTTGATAAAATGAAATCCCATACTTGACAGAGTTAATTTTCTGTATCAGAAAAATGGTTTGGCATCAATTAAAATTTATCCCATCATTAAAATTTCACTTGTACCTGAAAAGAGAGAGCCAAACTTTTTCTGTTATGTTTATGGCTAGGTTGTGTATTTGAATGCTGAGACTCTGGGTAATGTGGCAAATTTTGTGGAGAGTAGGTTAAATCATAAAGCATAGCTTATTAATTTTCTGCTTAAGACTGCCTGTGGAAACTAGAATTTGCTGAATTTCCTTTTGAGCATCAGTAGTCTTGTTTGCAAAATCTAGGCTTTCTTTGGCAAACACAAATAGAAATATTGTTCAAAATGTTTATAGAAGAGAGTTTGTCTTGTCAAAAAAATTGCTTTATTAAACCACCCATGCAAAACTCATTGCTTAATAAGTGATCAACTATGTTACTAATTTGATGGTAAAGGGATACGTCACTTGAATGTTGCAATGATTTCTCAAACCTGAATTTGAATCCTGCCTAAAATGACAATATTTATTTTATTTGGTTATAAGAGTTTTGTGCATTGGAAAAACATACCACAATTTCTTCTTAATGCTTGTGGGTGTGCCATAATCTATAATAATAATTACAACTAATAATCTTACTCAAGTTTAACACCAACTGGTGTATGAGAGAAAAAGATTTTACAATTGCCTTAAATTCTCTAGGGGTTGAAACTATATAAAAAGAGCTTTGTATTACATGTTATATGTGACTTTTAATACCTAAATTAATTTGTTGTGAAATGCTTCAGAATATTGAGCTATGAAAAGATGCTATTAAACATAAGTTGTCATTCATTTCAGTGGACTTGTCAATGATGAATTCAGAAGCAAGAATCTCCAATTTGCCATTACTAACAAATTAGTAACCTATTTCAACACTTATGGAGTAATAAATTTTGTATGAGCAATTTAATAAAACAGTTTTGTATCTTTTATTTGCAGAACATACACATACTTTTCTGCAAGCCATTTAATTAAAATATTTATGGGTTGAATTAGCTATCCTTTGGCTTGTAATGTTTTCATTCTTGAATATTGGGATAACTGTTCCCAACTAGATTGAAACAGCCAATCAAATTGTCCTACAAGCAAGTCTGCAATTCACTGTTGAGTTATATAATCACCTTCTGTACAAGCGTTAAAGTTTGGTGTCTTCCTTGGGTGGGAATAATTGCGACAACTTGCATATCAGACAATTCCAAATTCAAATAGTGCACTTTTATGCTAATTATTACTTGTGTATCTATGTATTTTGTAAAGAACTTGAAAATTTTGATCAATTTGTAGCAAAATTGAATATTTATATTCACCATCCTTCAATGGAAACAGGGTATGTGTAACATGTTTTTCATGTCACCACTAGCATTTGCTGTTCATTCTACATTTTAAAGAAAATTGTAGTCAGTATCCATCCATTCTGATTAGAATAACTCAAAAGTTGAGAATGCCATTTCATGTTCTGAAATCCTCCTAAATCCTGATTTGCAGTTCTATAGACTACTAGTTTCTTTTCCCACAATTTCAATTCACACTGTGTCAAACTCCATGAAAGTTTTGAGATTAAGAAAAACAAATTCTTCTATATGCAATATTTTTATGTTTATTTCTTTTTTTTTGTGGAGTAGTGGCTCTCGCTTTTGCAAGGAGGACAGAAGAGGATTGGCTTGGCACTGAATGCCTCTGCAGCACTTTTTCAGTAATAGAGTGTGATTAACCAAGGATGACAATGGAAGAGATGAGGAATGAAGCTGAGACAACCTCCATGGTTTCCATGCCACTCTATGCTGTGATGTACCCAGTGTTCAATGAGGTGGGTATTTTTTTAAAAAATCTTGAAGTAACTGTAAAATGGAAGTAGACTATAACAGAAAAGCAGAGTGAACCAAAGAAACAGAGAGGCAATGCTTAGATAATGTATGATGGAGAAACAAGCTAAGAAAACCTGAATAGGGTGTTGTGAAGACAGATAGCTATTCTGAAATTCTATGAGATTCAATAAATGTGTGGTGGCGCTTGCCAATTTTTTTTGCATTAAAAGTAACAGGATTCCCGTACAATAGTTACCAGAAAATATTTTCCAAACAGTATATATGCTCATCTTTGCAAATCCAGTTCTATGTTTGAAACGTTCACATATTAACATTGCAAACTGCTAAACTTTCAATCTTTTATCACAGCTGGAGCATGTTAATCTATCAGCTGCACAGACGCTCAGAGCTGCTTTCATTAAGGTAAGTTTAATTGCTGTTACAAATGAAAACTAAACATGCTTTCAGTTCAGTTACCTGATCTATACTTTGAACAATTAAGCAAAATGCAAGGGTAATGTCTATTGTTTAGCATTTTAGATATTTTTGGAAACATGATAACCAGCAGTATTTATAAAAATGATTTTGGCAAAAAGTGTTCATGATCCCTTTAAAGCAGATTTTATGTTAAAGAATTTAAAGTATCGGTAAAAATGTGACTGTTTGCTACCTGAACCACAAGGAGCACATTCACTGCCAATACAGTCACAGTACCTTTGACGTCACTGCTGACATTGAGCAATGCAGAAATATTTTAACAAGTACAGTACCAATAGAATATGCTTTTTTTTTCCTCCAAAATGTTTCAGATCAATTTATTTCAATTCCTGGGTTTCACAGTCCCACTCCCAACATTTAGCCACTCTGGCTATGCTTCTCCCTCGCCGCCTCTTGCCTACTCTTTACCCTGCTCCCTCACTTACAATGAATGGTAATGAGGGGTTGAGAGCAGCGCGGTGAGTAAGGGTGAAGTGTACACACTGGGCGCACACTGTTGTGATTAATGGCATTGAGTATGTGCCTATGGCCAGACTGGGTGTGCACTTCTGGTTCCAGTTGCATGTGGATGATGTCAGTGACACCAACTTCCTGCTGTAGTGCTGTAGGTAATGTATGATGGAGAAGAGGTACAATCTTAAAACATCTGACCAATAGCCCATGTAGAGTAAAGCACTATCTACTCTTGCTTAGTATACTTTTAAAGGAATATCTGAGCATTGTACTGGCTCTAGTACAGCTACTATTTTCTCTCCTCGCAAGCCCTTTTTATTTGTTAATTCAGATGATCTAATTGGTGTCTGACTTGTGGACGTTTCTGAAAGTTTAGCCCATGCAGAATATAAATGATAGTTTTGGCAAGAGTGTAACTTGAGGTAATTATGAATTTAATCCATTCAAGATAGGACATAACTGTTTTAAGTGTTTGTTTATGTCTGCTTCTCAAAAAAAGTCCTCAATCCCTTGTGCCAATTTTAACATTATCTTTATAAAGTTATCTGTGCATTGTGCTTTTCCTGGAAACAGTGGTGTTATAACATGTAGAACAGTGTGTAATGATTCACTAAGCTCAATAATAGTGAGTTTGCACTGCCCTGTCCTTTTTGAGTTTGTTCAGATTTCACTCTGATTTGATAATCTGGCTCCCAAATAAAGTGGCTTTCTGGAAGCTCCATTGGCAGTAGAGCCAGGCCTAAGGACACAATTCCCTGCATCTTGGCATTATGTTGCTAGTCTTGAAGAATGTAATAATGGTATGGATAATGGGTTGGAAAATTCCATTGTACAGTCTTTTTCAATTGAAAACTATGTTAGTATATTTGACAGAACAAAATTCAATGACATTTGAGGATATTCCTCATTTTAAAAAAAAATCTGAAGTCGAGATGGAATGAATAATGTCCATATCCTTTGCAATTATTCTCCAATTTAGAGTCATAGAGTCATACAGCACAGAAACAGACCCTTCAGTCCATCCAGTCCATGCTGACCATAATACCTAACTAAACAAGTCCCATTTACTTGCACTTGGCCCATATTCCTCTAAACATATCTTCTTCATGTACTTGTCTAAATGTCTTTTAAACCTTGTAACTGTACCAGCATCCACCACTTCCTTTGGAAGTTCATTCTACACATGAAACACTGTGTCTTAAAAAAAAGTTGCCCCTCATGTCTTTTTTAAATCTTTCTTCTCTCACCTTAAAAATATGCCCCCTAGTCTTGAAATCCCCCACCCTAGGGAAAGGACATCTGCCATTCACCTTATCGAAATGTCTCATGATTTTATAAACCTCTAAAAGGTCACTTCTCAACTTTGTATGCTCCAGTGAAAGAAGTCCCAGCCTATCCAGTCTCACCTTATAACTCAAAACCCTCCATTCCCAGCAACATCCTGGTAAATCTCTTCTCAACCCTGCGCAGCTTAATAATTTCCTTCCTGTACCAGGGCAACCAGAGCTGGACATAGTACTCCAGAAGAGGCCTCACCAACATCCTGTACAACCTCAACATTATAATTTGTTGACCTTTTATCACTGAAAATCAAGAGACATTATTTAAGAGCACAACTGGTTGTTGAGATAGTGACTTCATTGCTGAGAAAACAGAACAATGCAAATCTAAAAAAGGTGTACAAATTTGAAATAACAGTCATATCTACTGTAACACTAAGAACAATCTTGTTTATAAATTAATGTGCTTTGCTGAGAACAACCAATTCTGTTCAAGAAAGAAAACACAATACATTGACAATCAATCCAGGCTTGTTTAGTTGAAATGAGAAAGTCCTGGAATGTCTTAATACATTAAGTTTTGATATGTGAACTTCAATCAGTATTGCTACCTTTTTAAATCACATTCCGTAAATAACTCTGAAGAAGGGTCTAGGCCCGAAACGTCAGCTTTCCTGCTCCTCTGTTGCTGCTTGGCCTGCTGTGTTCATCCAGCTCTACACCTTGTTATCTCAGTAAATAGACCTAATGTTGTATAAGTTGTCATTTTCAGAACAAGGATTTCAAAGTTATTTCTAAAGAAGTTAGAAAAATATTAGGAAAATATTCTTCAAAACTCTCTGCTTGATCACTTTGTGTGTGCAGAAACAAAATTGTTCACTTACAAATGCAGACTGCTTAACAGTGAAATTTCATTGTTAAGCATCTTTCCATGTAGAATGTCTGAAGCAAATATTAAATTTCTGTCAGAGGTTGTTAAACGTCCTCAACTCACTATAAAGTTTGGTTTAGTGTTCTTCGTATTACATGTGTTTTAAATTTAACTGATGTTTGGGTTGTTTAACAAAAATTATATGGGATACTACAATTCATTCTTCAAGCAAAAGTTGAATTAAAAATGTTATCTGGTTAATTAATGCCAGAATAAAATTTAGCCCAGAATGAATATGAAAAACTCCCTTTTTATTGTACAAAATAACACTGTTGCCTGAATGACACCCAAGTTCTGAACAACGACTTTATATCTGAGTGGATCTAATGATGCATATTACATTCCTGGGCAGAGATCAGGTAAAACGTTTCCTAATTGATAATCCCTATCTCAATTTTACCATATCATTCTTTCATAGCTCCTGTGCACTAAGTCTTGTACTCTTTCAGATTTCTTTTTATTCCTTCTTGCACTTAGTGTCTGTTTCTCTTGTTTCTTTACAAGTATATTTTAATTTTAAATTAATCGTCTTCAGGCTAGCACTTTTTTTAGCTTGAGATGTACCACCTTGCATACTGTTTCTCATTTGTGTTGAAACCAAATGCCTGAAGTCCCATGAAATTGTAGAAGTTTTCAGTTTCGGGATTGACTTTGCTACAATGGTGATCACGTAGTGGTGTACAACATTGTAGTTTAATTTCATATTATGAATTTCACGGCTAAGTGCATTTGTTTGATGGGGAAACAAGTGTAACTAAATGGCAACAAAGAAAGTTGTTGGCGATAACCATTCCTTTAATTGCATAATGATAGTGAACCCAATATTATATAATTACTTCATATGATCCCACAAAATTATGTTTCCAAAATTAACTTTTAAAATTTCTTTCACTAACTGAGTTATAGTCATTTCAGGCTTGCTTTTACACACTTAGTTTTCATTTCCAATTAAAATTAGTTGCTTCTTTCGGTATTCCAATTTCTGTCAGAGGACTAAAACTTTGTTTAATCTGAACAGATTTTGGCGACGTCCTGAAACAATATCGTATTTTGTATTTACAAGTAATGGTGGCTTTAATATCAGAGCCTCAATATCATTGCTGTTGTATTCATTGTCCTGATTCAGCAGATAGCTGAACTTATTTTTAGATTAGGATTCTGAGACTGGAGAACTGGGGCCTACAGATCGGATTTTAAAAACTGGATTAACTTGGGTGTATTTGATTGAATGCCATTTGTTTTTGTGACGATAATATATCCACACAGTACGTAGAGAAACAAAGCCTTATTCAGTTCCCATGGCAAGAGGAATCCAAGTACAGTTGAGGTTTTTTTTTGCTTGCTTTTCTTTGCTAATTGTCTTGGGAATAGCAGAGATCAACCCAATCTACCGTGGCCTCTGGTTATGCTGCAACTTTCAAAATGCTTTCTTTACTTGAGGCAAATGTTGATAATTTATCCAGTGCTGTTTCACATTTGTGCTTGACAATTATGTAAAACATAATTAAGTGTTTTTTTTTCTGAAAGTTAAAGACATTTTGCCCCTTGAAGCAAACTCCTTGAAAAACTGGATAGATATATTCAAGTCGAGCCTGTAATCGCTGTCCTTGAACTGTTTTTTGCAAAAGTCATAAATAAATTCCCATGTGATCCTGCTGTTCTTCTATTAGTTGTCAATAAATCAAAATTCACCTCAACCCAAATTGTGTGAATTTAATGGAACACCTGAGTGCTTTGGCTAAATCTGACCTTAAGTTCTCAGGTAAATAATTCATCTGCTAATTCTGTATAATGTATTTTATAAACAAAGACTGCATCTTAAACTGTTTAATTTTGGACTAGTACATGAGTGATAATGTTATTTATAACCAAATATTAAACTTTGTCGAATTTGCCTGTCCTTGTAAGATCTTATGTAACTTTACAGACCATCCATAGGTTATTTTAAAAATAATAATCATTTTGAACTGGATGGAATACAGTAGATGTTCACTAATGCTTTGTGAATTGATGACCTCTTTTCAATTTTTAGGCAGAAAAAGAGAATCCTGGTCTCACTCAGGACATCATAACCAAAATTCTGGAAAAAAAGAGTGTGGACGTTAATTTCACTGAATCATTACTGCGCATGGCCAGTGATGATGTTGAAGGTTTGACTGTTTTCATGTCAAATAAATGTAATAAGTAACAAAAATACCCTTTACTAAACAACAGTGTCTTTAAATTTGTTGTTTTTTCACTAAACACATAACCACATCTTCTTGACAGTTCTCCTGTGAATCTGTTAGAACATTAAATCTTGTTTCTTCACTGAACCAATAGATTTAGGCTGTTCATTTAATCTCAGATACTGTAGAACTGCATCAGGAAGTGCAAACAAAAAATATCAGTGAAGTATTAGTCTGTATTTTGTCATGTTTTATCTGATCAGGCCAGGAGCCAGTTTAGAATGGAGCAGGTTATAATGGCCTTGCATTCTTTTAACAGCTGTTATCTGATGTAAACATTCTAACCTAGAATTTGCTTTGTGCAGAAGAAACACTTGTCCAAAACAAGTCTTCCTTGAGTATAATCTAATTTACAAATAACTAATCCATGCGTGACCAAAGCGAATGTTATGTGACCTACAAGTATCGAGTTTGGAATAGAATTCTCCATCTGTGACTAAATATTTCAATTTGTTATTTAAATGGTTGATCCAGAATTAAAATTTGACTTTAGACTCAGACTAACAATGGCCTTTTTCACCTCTGTAATTTTTAGATTGTAAAGGTGAAACTATACATGGGCCTAAACCCAGAATAGAAAACTCAATAATTCCGTGTATGTTGATAACCAACTAACCAATCTGACGAAATCCATTTTAATCTCCTCCTGTCCGACAAGCATTTATGATCGCTGCTATGCTCCACTTTCCAGTTACTGATGCTTGCCCCACTAGTCTTGTTCCAGTATCTCTCTTCCTTTAAGACATTTCTTAAACTTGCATCTTGATCAACCTTTGTCTTGTACTTTCTTCCATACTAGCAGTTTTGCTTGACACTTTCTTTTTCGTGAAGTACTTGGGAATTTTATTTTGCTAAAGATCTATAGAAATAATTATTGCATTATTCGTCTGAAAAAGTGTATCTAGAAATTTATTTTGTGTTCAACCATTACAACTGATCTGAGGAGGGAAAGTACCCTGTTACCAGCTCTCTATCATATCACCTTGTTGAGCTATTGTACTAAATACTTCGATTAAATTATTTTAAATATGGTGGCATGTTCAAATGGCAATAAAATAATTTTAGGTTGTATTGTGCTGTAAGTTAAACATAATCAGTTAATCCACAATGCACTGAGTATTGAAGGTAAGCAGATATATCCTGAACATTACTATCAATTTAGTCAAAATTCATCTTGCAGTTCCATCAGATTTGTTAAACAGTACCATGACGAATATATTTCTATATCTGAAAGTGTAGCAGTGAATTGAATTTGATAAATTAAATGTTGTTCCCAAAAAAAATGTAAAACTTTAAATATGGCACTGTCTGATTGTATGCTACTCATATGTAAAGATAATATGTTATGACTGCAGTGCGATCCATATTATACTGGATCAGGTGATGAGTTTGCACTGACAGTTCTTCTATCTTCCTTGTAAAAACACCAAAGAGTTCAATTTGTTGATGTCTTGACTTGTTGCAGGATTGTGGTAAGATGCAAGTAATGTACTGATGATGCACTACACTTCTTCACGCTCATTTTAGGCTCGTGAAATAGATAGATGTCTCTTTGTCCACTACCTTTGCTTAATTAGATTTAGCACAGATAATACAAAACTTCAAAAAATACTGTAATGCAGTAAAGCTGATGTGGCATCTCGTCCCATACCCGACACGCATAATGCTGTTTAGAGCTCTTAAATCTGAAGGATTTATTATTTGAAGCGTTTAAGAATTCTAATCTATATTAGATTAAAATAGAGTTTCTGATTTGGCATTGTTTCAGATATCTACATTGTTTAACAGCTTTTTTACTTGATCGGATACAGCAATAATGTGAATATTCCTTTGAGTTTGAGCCTGAGTATATTGTTTCTTGTGCTTTTGAGAGAAGTGGAAACTGCAGATTGGAACTTTGTAGCTTCAGATATACCATGCAAATGATTAAGGCACTTATTATTTAATGTTGGGTACAATGGCAACACCAATTCTATTGCCTTTTCTGTTTTTTTTTTTAAAAACTCCATTAGCCAATGTTGGTAATTCCCAGCTGAACTTGCTTCTTGTGATTTGCAGAGATAGTAGGAACTGCAGATGCTGGAGAAT